TACTATGCGGTCTTGGTCGTATGTGCCATCCATGTCTGGCGGAATCATTGATGGATGTGATGGAAACTGTTGACTGGTCACACAAGGCAATAGCTTCAACACATGGAAGGTTGGGTATGTGTGGAGGTGTGGTGGAATTTCTATCGTGTACGACAGTCCGTCTTCTCCACCTTTAACTTCTAGGACAAGCCACGGTCCTTTATACGCGGATAACAAAACTTTGTGAGATGTTTGCCTTGACCCAAACTAAATCACCTACCTAGAACTATGATGGCCGGTGATGCTTGTTAGCTTGTTCTATCATTCTATGTTGAGCCTTTCTCAAATTGTTGGTCACTCTCGCAATTTCCTGCTCATGCTGCAATGCGAACTCTCTAGTTCCGGGTAGTAGTCTCTGTATTTGGTCCGGATTTAGTCCTTCAAATGACCTACATGGTCGAAAGGACTTGAGTAGCTCATTAGGAGTCCGAAAGGTAGCTAGATGAACATTGTTATTGTAGGTGCTAGCTACTTTGGGAAGCATCTCATCCCAGTTAGTCTGATCTGGTCTAATATACATCTCGAGTGTTTGTTGTAGGATCTTATTCGTCTGTTCAGTCCGATCGTTAGTTTCTTGATGACGGCCAGATTACATTAACAACTTAGAGCCATAGACTCTCATCAGTTCCTGCCAATTCTGACTGGTAAACCTCGTGTCTCTATCACTAACTATGGATAGCGGAATACCATGTTCACTTACCCAGGAATCGAAAACTTTTCTACAAATAACTTCGTAGGTGCCTCTGAGGGCAAAGGAACAAAAACTGCATACTTGCTAAAACGATCTACTACTACCATGACTTGGTTTTTGTCATGCCTACTCCTAACTCTGGCATCCATAAAATCAATGGACACAAATTATCCGGGTCTTGATGGAATAGGCAAGGGTTTGAGAAGGCCTAATGGGGCTCGCGTTGTGGTCTTGTTACGTTGACATACTTCACAACTATGAACGTACTCTATGCAGTCAGCTTTCAGGTCGGGCCACGTATAGTAATGTACTAGGTTGGCTAAAGTCTTCTGCCTGCCGAAGTGCCCCTCTGTGTCGTGGCATTCCCCGAAGATCAGACTTTGGATCTCTTCACTACGGGGGATGCATAGTTTGTCTACGATGGGTCTTCTCAAATAACCCGTCTGTGGTGCGATAGTTAGGTTCACTCTTTGGGGCCTCAAACTTTTTTTAGGAGGTCACTATAAATAGGGTCCTGAGCATATGCGTCTTTCACCTTTTGTTGCAGATCAGTCCCTATGTCTAAGTAGTGAACTATAGCTCCAAAGTAGTCAGCTCTCCTACTCAGAGCATCTGCTACCACGTTGTACTTTCCTTTGACGGGCTTGGGCTCAAAGTCAAACTGGTCAATCTCGACAACCCACCTAGTAAGCTTAGGTGTTATCTTGGCTTGCGTTTTTAACCATCTCAGTGTCTCGTGGTCTAAATAAACTTAGAAGTGCCTCCCAAGCAAGTAATGCCTCAATAATCTAATGCTTGACTGAGAGCGTAGAGTTCTCTCTCATAAGTTGAGGCTGCTACTTTCTCTGAAGGTAGCCTAGCCGACATGAACTCTATCGGTCTGTACACATTGCCATCGTCCTATTGTAACACAGGTTAATACCATATTGACTCACGTTTGTAGTAACGAAAAAGGGTAAGGATGGATCGGCTACTTTGGGGATTGGATACTCTACTAGGGCCGGTTTTAACTTTCTGAGGGCCGAGGTGCAATCTTGGTCCCACTTCCAGATTGCTTCTTTCTTTAGCAGTCTGCGAAGGGGAGCAGTGGCCAGTCCTAAAAACGGTCGCAACTCTATCAACGTACCAGGAGTTGGCCAGTCCCTAATCGCTGCAATCTTGTTGTCCTCGGGTTTGATACCGTCTCCATCTAACACGTGGCCCAAGTACAGGATTTTGGTCTTGGCCCACTTGCACTTCTTCGCATTGACCTTGAAGTTTGCCTCGTGCAACTTCTCCAAGGTCTGCCTCAGATGACCCTCATGTTCCTAGAGGGTCTTGCTAAAAACTAAGATATCATATAGGTATACTACTACAAACTTATCTAACCTTGTTTTGAACAAATCATTCATATAGCGCTGAAAAGTTGTCGGTGCATTAGTCAAACCAAAGGGCATCACTACGAACTCGTAATGCACATATCTAGTTTTGAACGCGTCTTATAGTGGTTGTTAGGGTGAACTTCATTCTGATGGTAACTTTACTCGAAATCTATCTTTGTAAAGTACTTACAGCCCTGCACCCGATCTAATAGATCATCTATACGGGGCAGTGGTTCTGCATTCTTGACTGTAATAGCGTTCAGGCTTTTGTAGTCGATGCACATTCTCAACTCTCTCTCCTTTTTGGGGACAAATAGAACAGGCACTCCAAAAGGTGACGAACTGGGCCTAATCCAAACCTTCTCGAGGAGCTCGTCCAACTGCTTGCGCAACTCCTCTAACTCTCTAGGAGACGTTCTGTAGACTGCTCCTTTGGGAGTTCTACTATCGTGTTCTATTTCAATGCGGTGTTGGATTGGACGCGGAACTACTAAAGAAGGAGCCTTAGACAAATCTGCGTACTCTTCCAGCAACTTGGCAATAGTGGGGTTCCCTGGTTTCTCTTCCGTAGGCTCAGCGACTAGCCTAACATAGGTTACGAAGACATGTTCTTCGAGCTGCTCCTTTTTAACAAATCGAGCGAACTCAGGAGTGTGGAGACAGCAATGCGCCAAAGAGTTATCTACCCATGACTCATGGAACATGTGGGCTTTCTTGACACCACCTGAAGGACTAGGAAGCCTGCATGTGCTCTCTCATGCCTCTCCCCAATCCATTCCTATCGAATGCGAGATCATCTTCAACGAGGAAAGTTAGGGAATGGAGAACTCTCTTTACCTTCCCATCTACTTCTAGGCGAAAATATGCCTGGATTCCCTCGACATAATCCTATATCCGCATTGTGCGGTTGTCGGTGAGGATACTGACTACAGGTTCTTCTAACTTTTGGACCTGGCCAAGCTTCAACCTCTTCAACGCTTTACGACTAATATAACTACGCGTAGCCCCATTGTTTATAAGGGCCCCTCCTCTAACTCTAAAGACTTCTACATTTGCAATTAATATCTTTTCTTTACCTTCTTTCTTCATCTTGGCCCATGCCGGCATCCTCTCGTTTAACTCTTCTGGCAGACCTATGAGGGAAGCGCTTAAAGAGACTCTAACACAAGCAGTCTTTGGACAGCTAACTAGACATTGGCCAGCGACCTCTGCCATAGGCATACGTGGAGTGGGAGTTTCTATATGTACACACACTCATCTCCACGCAGTCTAGGGGTAAGGGCAGTTGCTACACCAACCGGAAGCAGCATTTTGGGCACCTTTGTACCTCGAGAAAAATTTGATAATGTGATCGAGGTCACCGCAGAACACACACTTATACTTGTCTATCTTGTCCTGCCAAACATTCTTTTCGATGCCCAAAGTTTCCCGGGGCCGGCCCTAAGGTCGACAAGGGTGCCAACCACCCCTCCTGGGAGGTGATCGATTTGAACGAGAACGGTTTAATGGGGGACCTTGACCCCCAACCTCCCGCTTGGCGGTTTCCTCTGTCGCCAACCACGTGGCCGCCTTGTTTTCGATCACCAGAGGCCTGACCACTTTGGTTTTGGCCTCTTCCTCCTCCCAGCGGCCTCCCTTCGGCCGCAACAGCAGCATAGGTACTCCCGTGACCTGCACTACTATCTGTGTCATCAAGGCCCCACTCTATATTGCTATAAGGGGCCTCTTCTGCACCACCTTCCTCCATTGTCAGTATAAGATGATCTTTGGCCTTGACTTGGCCAAAGATGGTGCGACCCTTCCACTTTTTCCCCTTGGTAAGGTTCTTGTGCTAGAAAGTGGTAATTGGCATGGAATGGGCAGCGAAAGCAACAACATCCCTACTCAACTGATCACAAGTCATTCCGGGTTGTTGCTTCTTCTGAAGTGCCCTTGCAATTGCTCGGCCATCGCGCAGTAAAACAGTTGGACTAGCTGTGACTGTGTGACCCCATGGTCAGGCACAACAACCAACTCATCCATGGCAGCTTTAAGAGCATGGGCGCTCCTACACTGCAGCGTGTGGATGGTTTGGAGTTTGTCAGACGCCTTCAGTCCTCTGGTGACGTCTGCAAACCTTTCCCTAAGGGCGGCGAGGAAATCACTCAAATGGGTCATTGCAGAATAGGCAACCATATCATTCTCACAGCGAGCGGCGCGCACGTGCGATATAGCGAAGCTGGTCGCTTCATCTTTCAGTGCCTGGAAAGCTATAAGGACATGGTCCTCCTGCAGAATGTATGGCAAGTGCGGATAGGACTTTCCGTTAGCCTCCTAGTTATCAAAATCTTCTCCCTTCCTTCCACTAAAAGGCTCACAAAATCTAACCTTCACACACCCACGGCGCAGCCGTAGCTCTTCCTCTTTGGGAACAACAATCTTGGCACCTTCTACGACACCAGTGCAAAACTTTTGTGTCCTTTCTATCACTGTGTGCAGTTCCGTGCTCATACGTAGCATCATGTCCCACGCAAAGTCCTTGAAGCGTAGATGTATGGACTCAATGGCAAGATCATGCCCCTTAATATGTTTGACCTGATCCAATTGAGCTTTTAGCACGGCAGTCATGGTCTGGGTTAGTGTGTCTAACTTTTGGTTAATGTCTACCCCTTTAGGCAGCTTACCCAGAGTCTCTTCTGCAGCTCTCACCTCCTTTTCTGCCTTCTCCATCGACTGCAACCTTCTTGTCTTTTCCCTCGCAAGGTGTAACTTCCACTCTAGTATCTTTTCCTACTCCAACGCCCTTCTGTGCAAGGGACTCTCCTCCTCTTCCAACTCTCTCTGCACCGCTTCCTTCTCCACCTGGGGAACTAGCAATCTCGCCTCCTGTTCTTCCCCTATTTCCAGCCTGGATGCCCATTCCCCAGTTATTCTCCCCACTTCTTCTTTTTCAGTTGAGGTGCCGCTAGACTCCCCTCTTTCTTTTGTGACCCCCCTTGCCATTCTTTTCAACGCGGTCTCCGACACTTCTTCCTCTTCCTCTTCTTCTTTCTCGACGACTACTATCTTCTCCTCTTGCTCCTTCAACAGCCGCTCCATCTCTTCTTTCAACTCCCTCTTCTTTGCCACCCGCTCCTCCAATAGGGCCAACTTCTTGGCCTCCTTCTGCCACGCCTGCTTCTCCTTCTGCTCACGCAGTATAGCGGCGGCTCTCTCCGCCTGCTCTACAATGTATGGGGTGGTATGTGGCCCAGATTTAGTGGTAACGACCAATCTCATAGTGCGACAGAATCCCAAAGGGATGAAGAGATGGTACAGGGCTCCCCACAAGGAGAAGCCCGTGAGCAAGGCGAGCATGGGTTCATCATCCATGGTGAAAGACACACAACTAACTGATAGTCCCACTCCTCGCCACGAAGACTTACCCAATCACTGATTCTAATCTACACTACTTTTAAGGCTGTTACTACAGGACTCTACTGCTGATCAGGACACATTTAAGGAGATCCCCCAAACTCTCAGGAATTATTTAACGTCGCAAACAGGACAACGTGATCAACAGAGCCCTCTCAAGACTTAGACTGCCGAATGCGCAGCCTACAGCTCGGTCTGTACTAGCTCTTGGGGGTCTTTTCCCCAGGTCGTCAGTTGTAGCTTTAGCCTTACTAAGTCCCGTGCAGGTTTGGTCACCACAACTCTATGACCTCATACACAAAAACTATCACCTGGACAAAAGTGACTCAATGCAGTAAGAAGAGACAGACTGACGCTTAAGCAAGTACCAAGGTTGTGTGCGCATACACAGGGCAAGGGGATAGGCCAAAGCTTGGAGAGAATATATCGCGCTCCAACTTGGTCAATTGTCTGGTCGACGATCTTCGTCAACGCTGGTCAAAGTCCGTCACGCCCGGTCAAACTTCGCCAGTCAACCCTTCGACCTCCTGGCTATGGCCGTTGACCTTTCCTTTCGTCAACCTCTTCTTTCTCCCCTTCGTCTTCTTCCTTGCCCCACCTTGGCTACGGCTTCCCTCTCTCTCTCCCCTTCGTCTCCTTCTCAATCACTTCCGCTTGGTCGTCTTCTTCCTCCACTCCGAGCTCGGTGGCTATGGCCGCCTCTTCTTCGTCTTCACTTGCCCCTTCCACAACTTCCTCTCTCTCTCTCTCTCTCTCTCTCTCTCTCTCTCTCTCTCTCTCTCTCTCTCTCTCTCTCTCTCTCTCTCTCGTCGTGGCTGTCCTCTTCACAGTCTTCAAGGTGCTCAGCAGTTTCCTCTTCGTGGTGATGGCGGCCTTCCTCTTCAACTTCAGAAATTCGATGTATGATGCTCGAATGGCTGCGGCGCAACAGGCGTGCATAAAACAATGGTGCGTTCAGATGACAACGGGTGCACGGACAGGAACGGTACGTGCGGACGATAGAGGCGCACGAGAAACAGCTGGCACGCGTGGAGGCGGGCGCGCAGAAAGCAACAAGCGCGCTTGAAGAGCAGCGGCGCACGACAGGCGCACACAATTAGCAGCAGGTGCACGCGATTAACAACGGCATGCAATAGGCAGCGGGCGTGCGCATAAGGGCCAGGTGGGCGCGCGTAAAGTAGCGGTGCGTGTTGGCACGCGATCTGGGCGCGCAGGTGCCCCCTCCTCCTGTCGGCGATGGATGAGCACGAGAGCGACCGCAATCCACTACAGCGATGACGACGGCGGCGATGGGGACAACGGGTACCAGCTCCGTTACCACTGAAATCAGACTTTTTGCAAACTCGCTTTCAGCATGCATGCAAACAAATGACGACTCGAATTGGCGCAATGTGCCCACACAAAGCTCAAAGATAAGAACGTGGCCACAAACACAGTTCAGGTTCAACTTGTTTCGAATGGCTATGGCACCCAGCGCCAAACAAAGATTCCCACCTGATCAACTGTATCCGCCAACAACTTGTTCACATGCACGCATGCACAGCTAGGACCACCCTGAATTTCCCTCAAGCACACACACACATAACACACTTATCCTATCTCTATCCTACGTGGCAGCTCTCTACTTGTCCGCGATACACCTAATGTCAAATTGATCGAGGGAGCGGAGCGAATTTAAATGGTTCAAGACGATGAGCCAACTCGATGGATTGATTTCATTGTTCTGCTTCGCAACAGCCAAGGAGTTTTTCCAAACCCGCGCTCGAACTCCAGGAGAGCTTCATGGTTATATTCCTCATTTCCATCGAGCGAGCAACCTCCAATGTCTCTCTCGAGCCATTGTGAGTGTTAAGATTACCTCGTCCGACAACCGCTTTGGCGTTGTTCGGATCCAGGATACAGCAACACGACATTTGTTTGGATTGAGTTCGCCATTTTTTTGAATGGTTATATCTCAGCAACGATGGTTGTTGGAGTTTTGGTTGTGCAAAAGCATTGAAGATGACTTTTGGATATATGTGTGCTTTGTTGATTGTTGGTGCGTTTTGTTGTGATGATTTTTTTTAATGTGCAAGGGACTAGGATAAATGGTGGGTTTCACTTTTCCTCGGACCGTCCTAGTCGACTGACGTACGCCTCGTACTTAGGAGATCAGCGCCCTGAGCAACGAACAATGTTCGGGTTAGGATGGCGTTTTTACCCATGCGTACCTATGCCACAGCGAAACGAGCAAACACCCTTGGTTGGCCTACCTCTGCGACTGCATGTAAAAGATCTCGCACGTGGGTCAGTAGCTCAATAGGGATACGCCCCTAAGGGTGGTGACAACCCCTTGGGGAAGGTAGGTTGCGCCCCGCAAGAACCTATCATGTCGTAGGGGACCACGGGAAGTACGGCTGGCGCACCCGGCTAGAGCGGCGAAGGGACGATGCAACTGCGCCCGTCCCGACAGTTCGAGTGGTTATTTTGTGTTGTCCCCAAGTTGTCCCGTGTTTTGTTTTGTTTTGTTTAACTCTTGCGTGACATAGCCGAGAGGGCTCTCGCATTTTGTGAAAAAAGGCGGGAATCTATGCGCTCGACAACGCAACTACAAGATAATACGTGCGCGGCAGAAATTGGCTTGGGGTGAAATCATCCTCTGAATTAGTCCCGAGGACAAACTAAGGGTGGCCTAGAGAGCGATCCTAACACCAGAGTACAGAACTGGCATTGGACTAGGCGGCGACAGGGGAACACCCATGGCTGGTAAACTATGTCATGGTAGAAAGATTTTGAGGGTACTGGTGACCTGCATGGGATAGATTTTGAGGGTACTGGTGAGCTGCACTGGTTCATCATGGTCTGTGCCCCTAACGGGAAAAACAGTACCTGATGCCTTTGGTATGACAATTTCGTTCTTGTTGAATTAGTGGGCCTTCTTTCTGAAACAGTCTTTCAATATTTCCATTCTAGAAGCAGTAGGTGCTTGATGCTATAAACCAGATCCGACGTTAGGGAACCACAGCAACAAGGCAAAACACAGTGGACGTCCAAAAACGCCCACAACCGTGTCAGCCAAAATATCGCTTCGCAGCTTGAGCAAAAGCCACATGATGAAAAGTTGTAAACACATCGGATGACATCATGCAACTACAGGTAAATGCCTGCGTGACAGAAATTGGCTTGCGGTGAAATTGTTCTGACACAGTTGCAGCCGTTTCTGCACATGCATGGTTCCACCTCGGTGCAGGCAAGTGGGCAAGTGGTGTGACTAAAGAAAGCCCATGTTGGAGAGAGTCTAGAAGGTACCAGTCCGGTCCAGCAAGTACCACGGGGGGAACTGTGTGCACCATGGACCAGGGACACAAGGCAGACCAATGCAGCACAGAAGTATAAATCAAGAGGCTGCGTCCATTCATTCATTCATTCCTGCGGATGCCATGCGGAAGCGCTGCCTAGCAGCTTGTGCGAGGAGGTCTGCAGAGTGCCCGAAGACGAAGTGGGCAGAGGAGTAGGGTGCAGCGATAGGTAGTGGCAGCTAGCGCTGCCATAGCTGTAGCCTAGCATGTGTGTGTGTGAAGTGTGATACTGAGTGTTGCGTGTGGGACATCTTGGGTGATCCAGAGTGCGAACAGTGAGTTGTGTGGGCGCTCAGTCGCCATAGCCAGTTTGAAGAGAACTCTTATGTGGATACGATATCTTGAGTACTGAGTGGGCGCCTGTCGCCAATTTGCTGTTTCGCTGTTTGCATACATGACAAGTTGAATAATCGTAGTGTGATTTCAATTGGTAGAAAGAGCCCACACCGAAACCTTTTCGGTTTTGGCCGCCCAAAGTTCGGCCGTTTGGTACTACAGGCCCAAATAACTTTGGAGCGACGTGTGGGCCTGTAGTACCCCACATGCAAGTCATTGGGCCGTTAGCACCAAACGGCTAAACTTTGGGCGCCCAAAACCCGAAAAGGTTTTGGCGTGGGCGCCTTCTCCCCCCAGATCTCCTTTTTCGGGTAGACTGTGAGGACCCCGGCCTCGAAGTTTTCTTGCAATGAATTGAAAGAGTTATTATGAAGAACAAACAAAGAAAAAAGAAAAAAAGAAAAGAAAGGTGTGCCATTTGGCTTTGCCATTCTGCAATTGAAACTCAGGCCATGACAAGATTGCTTTTTCAAATTTGGAATCTTGGAGTGGCTACCCAACATGATGGGGCGGTAGTTTTTTTCGAAAAACGAAAACTGTGTCCCTGGAAGCAGCAGAAGAAGAAGAACAGGAGCTCAGGCAGCTCTCTGATCCGGATGCTGCTGATCGTGGCAGGCTTCAAACTCGAATGGGCAAAAAACGAACAGGTGCATTCGGGCACGCGGGGGCGAAATGGATCCGTTGGGTTTTCTTTCTTTCTTTTTTTTTTCTTTTTTTTTCACCACGGCTGACCCTTGTAGTTGACACCACTTCGAATACTTGATGTCAATGGCATTTAGTAAGACCAGCATTCAAAGCCACACAGAATGAAGAGGGAAGAGAGGAAAAGGAGAACATGAAGAGAGGAGCAGGGAAGAGACGACGGAAACACTTGGTAAACCATGAAAAGTCCCGAAGGCCACTTCAAGGACTCAGTGACTCACAAGGAGTAAAAAATATTGTAACTCCTGAAAGGGACGCAGGGCATCCTTGCGGCATACTAACCTTCATCTGGTCGCCGTACCAGAATCATCAGGGGTCCATGGCCGCAGTACTTTGATTGCCTTTTCGCACCCAGCGGCTGTTTTCTTTGCCCACAAAGTGTTTCTTTTGCCCAATGCATTTAAAACTCTGGTCTGACATCACGTACTTGCCCCCGAAAAAAGACAAATAGCTATGGCCGCAATACAAACTGATGTGCAATACAAACTCATTTCCACATCAGTCGCCACCTGAGGGCATACTCACATTGCGACCCCAAATCCGCAAAATATGCGGCTTTGCGAAGGTCCGATTTGGTTCCAGTCGCACCACTGTATCTTTTCAGATGGGAC